TGCATCCTGTGCACCCTCCATATTCACCAGCAAGCCATCCACACTCCTATATATCTTCATTCCCAGCCCAATCGCAACTCCCTCCCTACATACGTTGGCTCCGTTAAACATACATGCACCCCTGTAAAGTACATCCCTGTCTAGCAGCTCGTGGCTGCCGACATGCTTTAAGCAGACCCTGCCCCTGGCTAAAATACCCTGCCTCATGGATGCATAAGTGTACACTCCCACTACATGAACATGCCATCGACTGAACAAGCCAGGCAGAGCCTGAGAACAAGACAAATTCTCTTTGCAATGCCTCTCCCTTCAAGCCCCGGGTCTCTTGAAATCCCATCCAGCACACAACCACTTTGGCAGGGGGCTACCACTGTGACCATCCCACAGACGGGCACAGAGCCTGTAGGAGACCTGCCCAGGGGTATGCAGAGTGTCAGTGGTGAAACAGAATCTGAATCGGGAGGAACACACTTACACACACACACACACAGAGAAGAACAATAAATCTGATCTCTAAAAACTGAAGTAAAGTGAACCCAGCTGCTGTGTTTCTGGCCCGTGTCAAACAGTGCCCCACTGCCCGCAGAGGCATGGGAGAGAGGGCAGCAGGGGCAGAGATCCCCATCCACATGCACACCTGTGTGTTTGCCTACAGGGAGAGTCCATGCCCTGCCCCCTGAAGGCTGCGTCTGTGGGCAGTGAGGTCTGCATGGTCCAAGGGGCAGGTTGAATCGCACCCACCTTATGCTGTTGGACCAGCCCCTGAGAGTGGTCCCAGGAAGGAACTTGCTCAAAAGAAAAATGCACTTACTGGTCATTGGGCTCTCCTGGAGCGTTGTCCACACTGCAGCTCTGGAGGTCCATCAGGCTGGGTTTCCTTCCTCCCTGTCCGGGCACCTGCCTGGCAGTCACTAACTGCACTGGGTGCTCCCAGGAGCTGCTTTATCAGCCACCAGCACAGAGGGAGAGTTCAAAGCTCAGGCTGGGACTTGACCTGCCTGAGGGACCTGCCCTTACTGGGAAGCCTGTGCTGATTTAAAGGCTCTGCAAACCCTGGGCACAAAAGGCGCTGCTCACTTCCAGCTTCAGCTGACTCAAGGCTCTTTCCCCTTGTGACGGTTTCCCCAGCGACAGCAGGTGTTTCGCTCCTTCAGGGAAGCCCGAGGACAGCAATGCTTCCTCTGCAACGCTGGTAGCGCCGTGGGTTTTATACCCCTTCCCCAGCACCGTGCACCCACACACGCACGGTATTCGCCAAGGACAGGCTGGGGGCGGCTGGTGCTAAGGCAGCGTCTCATCTCGAACAACTGCAGTTCTGCACTCACACGCGTTCCACCTCCGGCGCTGGGCAGATGTCCCTGATATGAGCCCCCCAACCCCGATGCTGTGACAATGTGCAGCTATCTCACACTGTAAGCCTCTTCCTGTGCTGTATGTGGTGAGAGTGTGGAATAGGCCCACTGCCTCCAGCTGCCAAAGGGGGCTTGTGCCAAGGAAGAGCATCTGTAAGCAGTACAGAGCCTATGACACACAGCTGAACATCAGTGATTCTAGGCAGTAGGAGGCATTAGTGACACAGCTGGGAGCAGGGGCCAGGGATGGAGTCAGGGATCACTCATGCACCTCTGCTTATTTACAAGGTCTTGCTCTCTGGGGCATAGGAGGAATCGACCGACCAGAGGCGGTTGCCTTGTTCGGTGCATGAGCTTTGCTCAGCCTGCCCTCTCTAGACATCACCTGGAGCAGAGACCAGTGCTGTTCAGCCTGTGACTAGCTTCCTTCACTGCCTATTTCAATGCGTGGTCCCCTTCTACACCTGAGCCCCTTTCATCTGCCCACACCAGTGCCTCCCCAGACAGCAGGCAGCCAAACCCCCTTCCCCTGGTTCCTGAACAGTCTCGTATGCAGCTGCCAACAAGAGAGGTTTCCTCACTCAGTAACAGCCTCCTGAGCCAGCCCCACACTCCCCGCAGTACAGGCCCAGCCCCACAGTACAGGCCCATGGAGATGCTGCAGGTGAATGGGGAAATGGGGAGGCTGGGTGCTGTGCCACAGCTTCCCACCACCGCTTCCTGATCGCCCGATCATCGTACCAAACAACCCTGCTTCCAAACCCAGCACCCTGCCATGCTGTGTTCGGCTACAGCCTGTCCAACTGGACACACGCGCTTTGCACTCTCTTTGGGAGCCTTCGCCGGTGTTGTCTCTTGGTTTTGCTGGGTAGGGCCTGTTGGTAAGGCCCCATTAGCTTCTCTTCCACCTTGGAGAACACAAAACAGCAGCAGTCTCCCAACGCCTGAAGAAGGGCGTTTATGCCCGAAAGCTTGCAAAGAACTTTTTTTTTGCCAACTGTTTAGTTGGTCTAATAAAAGATATCACATCTACCCAAAGAATCTCGCCTGCCTCCTGCTGATAATACACTCACACATATATGCTTGGTGACGCGAGCTCCCCGCAACCTCCCCTTGGCTGGATTTTTCTACAGCAGCAGTTCTTAACAGTTTGAGTCTCGAGGCACCCCTCCTTAGACCCCATGACTTGTGTGAATTGAGCAGTGCCCCATTTCAAAAACATCTTGATTTGTCCCAGTGCTTATATCCTAGCAGAAGGGGCAGGCAGTGGGGGCAGGGGAGCAGCCAGGCGAGGAAAGCCTGAGCCTGGCCGTATCTGCTTATATTCTCGCACTTCCTGATACACCCTTCAAAGGATCTTGTGGCACCCTGGGGTGCCCCTGGTTGTGAATCAGTGTTCTACGGAGTCCATTATAAGTGAGCGGGGGTCTGAAATGCTGGGTTTGTATCATGCCACAAGAACTGCAGCACTGGTGCAGACTCACAGGCTGTTTATCCCCTAAAACCCAAAGGCATGTGTGTAGTATGCTGTCTCCACAAACTTGGACCTCCAGTGTGGTCACAGCAGTGCTCATTGTCACATGTGGAACTGGATGAGTCTGTGAGCATTGAGTTGACTATATTATGGCCGTGGCCACACCAGTTTTTACCTTCTGCTTGACAAGGCAGCTACAAGTTTTCCTGTAGGTGCTGTGACACAGTCCTCTCTTACCTTGGGATCAAACCTTCATCAAGTGCTCTGTGCCGGGATACTCCTTGAAACAACTTAGAGACAGCAGCTGGTGCAGGATGCAGTGGCAGGACATCTGTCTGGGGAGTGCTCTTGCATTCATGGGGCTGCCCCTTGGATCCTGGGCGGAGATTAAGGCATGTATTATGTTCTGTAAAGTTATACGGGGCTTGGGACTGGTCTTCCCAGGCCAAACAGGACCAGCTGTGGGGAACAGGGGCACTTGAGCTGGGTCCTCGTTGTAACAGAAAGCGGGTGGCTGGCACGAGGTCCGCTGAGACCTGATCTCTCTCCATTCTGCAGTAACCTGAATTTGGTGCCTTCTTGGCTAACACCGACAGTTTATGAGAGCACTGCAAATGCTGAGAGTTGGCCTCTGGGAAGATGAAAGGCATTCATAGGTTTCTAGTTGGCTGACCAAACAGCAACTCTTTAGTTATTTTTAATCAAAATAAGTACCAAACACCTCACTTTGTCTGAACCAGGCCTGTGAGAGCATGTCCCTTAGACCGTGAGTGTCTCGCTGCTCCATCCTGCTGCAGACAAAGGCACGGAGACGTGCTGCAGCCTATAAAAGCCTGACCCACGGTAGGAGATCTTTTCCCAGCCCGTAGTCACAGATCCTAGAGACTTCAGACACATGGGCAGAAATCTGTGGTGTGACTGACAACGAGAGTCAAACAGACGGTCACAGGAGGCCAAACTGACCTGGGATTACACTGCCTGGCAGGATGTGGGGCCCCATGGGGAGGAGTGGAGCACAGCTGGCTGGAAAAAGGCCATCCTGGTTCGGGGAGGAGTTTGGTCCCATCCCAGTAAGCAACAGGACGCAAATCTGCTGAAAGGCACTGGCCAAAGGGAATGGAGCTGTGGTGTGGGGCTTCCAGCTGCCTGCCTGGCTTGGAGCTCAGGACCTGATAAATCATCCAGGCACACCAGGGCCTAGCCACACAGCTCTGGAGGAGATGGGTTTCCTCTGGGGAAAAAGAAGGCCTTTTGCCTTTGCTCGTCCTCCATGGGGGAGCAGAAATGTTGCAGTGCATAGCCATGGGAGACTGTGCCTGGGGTCCCCGCTCACTCTGGTCTTGGGATCCAGGGCCCCAGGGCTCTATTTCCTGCCCTGCTTCTGCCCCATCCTCAGTAACAACTGCCTAGGACAAGCCTCTCCTGCTTCCCTCTGCAACATGAGGATAACAATGCTGGTGCCGGACGGGCTCATTAGTGAACACCTGACAAATGCTGAAGTCATCCTCTAATGTATTAATTTATCCCCCTCAATCTGTCCCTTTCAGCGCCTGGAATAGCTCTGGAAGGTGGGTGGCTTGTGTTACTGCATTAGGAAACCACAGACTACTCCACCGAGACATACAAATCTTGGAAAATTCTTACTTCTTTCCAGGGAGACTTCATTCAAGCAGCACAGGAAACAGCAACAGCAGTGCAGACACCTAGGCCAGTGTTTCTAAGAAGGGCTGTAGCTTTTGGGAGCCTGGGTGCAGTCCCTTGGCCTGGTTCTCAGGAGTGCAGAGCACTGGGATCTCCCACCGATTTCATCTGGCACTCTGAGTACTCAGCACTGCTGTTAATCAAACCCACTGTGTAAATCAAACCCCCCAAAATGGGGGTCGCCCCAAATGAGCAGCCACTTGGAAGATGTTGCTCGTTGTCTCTCATCCCGATGCCTTGGGTTCTAAATATTTCTGTTACTCATTGGCTATAGTTCATAGATCACTTAGGCTGATGTAATCCTCACTAACCCCCAGGGCTGCCAGCTTTAGAGATGTGATTGTGAGTCTTAGAGTATAGGGTGAGTTTTGTAAAGCCCCAGATGCTGGAGTCAGGGAAATGTGGGAGAATCTTGACTTCTGTTTTAAAAAAAGAGAAGTGACTTATCACAATTGAGGCTCTATAAGATGGGCTGTCCACACACGCATGTGCTTGACTCTCAGACCTCTTGTATCAACCCATGGAGTGTATCCTCACCCACCCTGTGCTGAGGGAATAAAAAGCAGTACACACTTCCAGTTCCCCAGCTCAGCCACAAAGTCTTATGATATATTTGATTCCAAGGAAGAGAAGGAACCGGCAAGAAGAACTTAAGTGACCTGGTGCCAAAAAGGCAGACAACGTCATTTGTTGGAGCTAGACCTGGTCTAACACTGGATTTGTGATAGTCACTGGACAGACCCTGGAGGAATATGAAGGGTCCTAAGAAATTGGATGTGGCGGAGTAAAAACAGGGGTTGTGATGGAGTCTACACTGAAACAGTAATTAGGCAACGTTGATTCAACTGGGGATGCCTGTGGAAGCTGCTCTGCTGGAATAGGTGAGAGCTGCTGGAGGGTGGCACTGGGCATGGTGCTGCTGTTGAGTGAATGTCCTTTGAGCAGTCAGTACATGAAATGAGATGCATCCCTTGAGACATAGTATAGGACAATGACATAGCAGGACTGCATTGGCAGAATGGGGATGGAGATACCACACTCCAAGCTACTTGCTGCGCAGGAGTATCAGGAATCTCAAAAACTCCTGGTGAAGATGGTGAGGCAGATGGTGCAGCTCCAATGGATGGTACCAAAGGATCTCGTTTCTTGACTGAATGAGAGCATGGCTACTCCAAGAAGAAAAGTGCATTTCTAGACTTCATGGTTATGAAGGGAATCTGGAAAATATGGGATTGATTATACCCTTAGCAAATTTGCAAACTCCAAGTTGGATGGAGTTGGGTGGATACTCCAGAGAGTTAGGGTTAGGATCCAGAATGACCTGGATAGCCTGGAGAAATGGTCTGCCATCAATCAGATGAGATTCAGGAAGAACAAGCGCCAAGTCCTGCACTTGGGACTGAATAGTTACATGCACAAATGCACATTAGGGAATGACTGGTTGGGCTTCAGGGCTGCAGAGAAGGGCCTGAGGGTTACAGCAGACCATAAGCTGTATATCAGCAGTGTGCTCTGGTTACAAAAAAGGCCAACGGCACACTGGGTTTTATCAACAGGAG